TCTGTCTGTCTGTCTGTGCCCCCCTCTCTCTCTCTCTCCATCCATCCTCCCTCTCTCTCTCCACCCTCTCCCTCCCTCTCTCTCCCTCTCTCTCTCTAACCGTGTCATGGTGTGTAGCTGGGTCTCTCACCCGCAGTGAGTCTCCTGGTAGCTGTCTCCATACGTGGAGTTGAGCAGGATCAGATATTCCGCCAGTCCAGCGTCGCTCAGTCGAGTCCGCCTGCGGAGCTCGCTCCACAGTTTGTGGGACTCCCCCAGATAAACCCTCCGGACATCGTACTTCTTCCGGGACTCGAGGCGCCTCTGGGCCCGGTCTGTGTCCGTGAGCCTGGGTCTCCCTCTGCAGCGCCTCAGAGCACATTTCCCCGGGTCCCCAGCTTGGTCGGTGTCCAGAGGAACCTCTGGCTCCGTCAGGTTGAGCGCCATCTTGGCCACAACAGCTGATGTTGTGATCGAGCCGGAAGTTGTATGAGACCTAACCGGAAGTAGCGGTGAAGGCGAGTTTCTTCCCACGGCAGGTACCCGTCAACTTTATATACTTTATATATATATATATACATATACTACTATATATATAATATATATATATATATACTACTATACTATTTATACTTTGCGCGCTGAGAACCACGGCGGAACCTTCAATAGACAGATCTGTTCCCCCCGGACAGCAGCAGCCCGAACACCAACGTGCCACATGTAAACAAGAGCGGTGGAAGTTGAGTGACAGCGTCGGTGTCGGTGATGTAGAGATGTTTCTGACATGACGGACATTTTAAACCTGGTGTTCAGGACCTTCGCTTCGCACACGGAGCTCAGGGACTCTCCTCCTCCACCAGTGACCCGCAGCAGCGCCCTCCTGCTCGGGGAGAACAGCGTCAGCCGCTCGGTGCTGCTGCTGGCGGCCGTGACCGCCGCCTCCCACGCGGGGCTGAGGGTGGTGTTCTTCACCCGGACACTGATCCAGAGTCTCCCGGCGTCTCTGCAGAAACTCGTCCCGAGTCCAGAGAGTCTGAAGGTGTTGTATTGTTTATCTCTGTATTCTTATATATTTATCTTATATATCTAGTTTGGAGAGTACAGTTGTTTTGCTGTAGTTCAAAATGCACTGCAGATGAGCTTCACTCAAATTCTGTGAGTTAATGTATTTTCTCTTTTATTTTTTTAAAGAAAATCAAGTTCTGCTATCCCAAGACGGTGGAGGAGCTCCTGCAGCAGCTGGCCGCCCTTCACGAGTCCAGCAACACGTCTCCCACTCCTCCCTCCCTGATCATCGTCGAGGGGCTGGAGGGCTTCCTGTTTGGTTCTCGAGGCGGCAGCCACAGGGAACTTCACCCAGGAGAGCAGTCGTGTGCTGCCCACCTGTCTGCGCTGCTCTGTGACACTGCCGCCTTTCTCACATGCGTCCTGGAGCGGCGCTCCTCGAGCTCAGGCCCCTGTCGCATCATTGCCTCTTTCCAGTCGGAAGTGGACGGGGAGCCTTCCGCTTCAGATCCCATCCTCAATGTCCTCGATCGTTACTTCCCGGTCCGCTGCACTCTGGACCCAGACAGAGGATATGAAGCTGCAGCAGCTGGACTGCAGCAGCTGTGGCACATTTACCTTTCTGGCAGAGGCATCACAGAGGCATCCTGTTCCAAAGACAGTGAGGACAGGCCGGCTGTTGCCCGGGAGTGGAAGCTCTTGATTCATCCCGATGGTTTAATGGAGTTTAAGACAGTTTGAATCATCTGCATCAAGAACTTGAGCAGTGAGGTATTATTAGAAAGTTAAATGGTTGACTTCGGGATTGTTTCTGTTCTGGGAAAATGCACATTTTCAGCATTATTCGGCCTGAAGTTAAAGCGGCTTTCCATGGACAGTGAGACATGTTCCAGTTTAACAGGCCTCAGTCACTGTGACACCTTATCTTTATGTGTTTTCATTCATTTCACTTTATTGCTCATTGGGTTCAATGTAAAGTCATATATGACATGTGCTGTTATTTAAATGGACCACAATGGTTGTAGATGTAAAATGTTTAATGTGTTAAAATTTAAAATCGCATTAAGGTTTTGTCAAACATAAGAAAAACTCTTACACAGAAGGTCAATAAAACACAGCATATTCAAATAAAATACAAATACATATATTTGTTTTAGTATGTTAATGTTTGTTCCCTTAATCAACACAACACAACCTGAGGATTCAGTCCAGTCTGGTTGAAAACCATTGATATACAAATTGAGAGGAAATCACAAGCATGAACGAACTGAACTAAAGTGAATGATATCACAGTTAAAGTAGTTTACACATCAGAAAAGACTTATTTTGAAAAATCAACAATGTCACGGCCAAGAGAGAAATATTTTAAATGTTTGAGAATTGAAAACATTGAAGGAACTACTCGTTAGTAAAATACTAATTAGGAAACATGTAAAATGTGAATCCTAAAAAAACTATTGAGTTTTCTTCCTCTTCTTTTTCTCTCCTCCCACCGTCCAAAGACATGCAGATTGATTGACTCGTTTCTATGTCACCACTGTGATACACTGAAGGACTGTCATGGGGGGGGGGGGGGTGGATGAACTGCTGCTGTGAACAACTTAAACAACTTGGAGAGTGAGTTTTGACTTTCAAGCCTTTAGTTGTCAGTTAGTTGTTAATCACACTGCTGTTATTATTATTATATTAGTCAGAAATGTGTAGAAATATATTCATATACTTTTAAGAGTAGTTACAATTCCAGTAAACAAATATTTTCCAAAGCCACAAAAGCAAATAAGCATAAAAAAAAAACACAGAAATGATTCAGTTTGATTAAAAAACTGCAGTAAATCTGAATGTTACTCTGTTTAGACGTGTCATGTATGCTTTACTCTTTAGATGACTTAAATTAGATTTAAATACCATCTACAGCTACCTGAGAGTGAATATTCAAACTTTTCCTGCACAGCCTACAGTACAAGTAGTATTTTATTTGCTTAGGAATATGTGTTTATGAGAATAGCAACAACTTCCGATTCTGATTAGTCTCTGATACAACTGTGTTAAAATACAAGAAAAACACCATACTGATATTTACAAATACAGTTTTATCAGGTTTGTAAATTACACTGACTCAGTAACTGCCCAGTTCAAGTGAGAGTGATTTAGAATTGAGGCTGAAAGTTATTGTCAACAAATCCCATGAAGAAAAACGTCGGTGTTCCAATATTTTCCAACTTCCCAAACCTACGTCCAGACGCTCCGATCTTAAACATGAGGAATGTGTGTTTGACTCACGCGTCCAACAGTGTGACATTTACTTTTTTAACTGAAGCGTCTTAGGAACCACAGGACGGATTCTAATTTCAATCCTCTGTCATGTTCCCCTCGAGACGAACGTCACCACCGCATCAAGTATTAGCACTTTGAAGCTAATTGTGCTGAAAGCTAATAACCAAACATGAGCTGTTTCACATTCAGTTGTGTGTTTAAGTGTATTATACATGAAATTGTTGCAATATTAAATATATTTGTTTTATATATTGTTTATTATATGAAAATATATTAATTTTATACTTGTTAAGACAAAATTGGAGGTCAGAGGAATGAGCTAATTAGACTTTGGCTACAGAAGAACAATCTGTATGAGGATCAGTTGATTTTTGGTTCAAGTCTTTTCATGGGATTTGTTGACAAAAATAAAAATATATATGAGAAGGGAAAAGGAAATGCATCAGCCTGTAAAGTTCTCTTTCTGTACATCTACTCGGTATTTTAATTTAAAAGCTGGTTGGTTATTGAAGCTTAAAGATAATACTAAACTTATCTCAAACATATTTCCTTGCAGAAGCTGCCAGCTGCCATTTCCATGTAATGGAGCTGTCCTCTACAGAACAGGGATGACTTGGCTAAAGTGGAGATGGTATGTACATGGACATGGAGCCCTTCGGCTTACACGAAGTGTGAGTCAGCTCCGTGTGTCAGTCAGAGCCAGAATCCTGGATACGCCTTTCTTAACAGTTGTTGTGAGGCCATGTGGTTGTGGGTACAATTCCAGATACCCTCCGTCTAAGTCTCTGTCCACGTGCCGCCGGTTCAGCTCAGCTCCGTCTCAGCCGTCATCAAGCACAGGCTGATGCCTTGGCAGGAAGGGCCTCCTGTGAGAGGGGATCTCATTCTTATAGTCGTTGGCGTAGATAACCACTTTCCCGAAATCGTCCACTCTGCTCATGGGGCTGTAATCCATAGAGACCCCAGAATCTGCCACAGCCATGTAGGTGTACCCCAGGTCCTGGGGGGCCCAGGTTTGGTTTGGGAACTCGAAGCTGGACTTGGACGAAAGACCACCTGAACCGGAGCTCTGCTGCACTGACCCCAGGTCAGAGTGGGATTCACACAGTGCAGTCTTCCTGGAGGCAAAAAGCACCTCGAGGGGTAAGGTCTCCTCAAGAATATCATCCAGGTGCTCGCCCTCGCTGTGGTTGTGGTTACTGAGAGTGACGTATGTGTCCTGAGACTCCAGCAGAGAGGACTGAGAGCAGGGCATCGGGTGCTGGTGGAGCGCACGCAAGCGGTCCATCAGCCAGTGGTCGCGTGGCGTTGCTCTCCATCCGTCTGTCAGAGCAGGATTGTCCATCTCTAACGTCTCTGTCTCATCCGGCCGCTTCGCGTCCACGTCCTCCTTCCTGTCTGCGGGTGAAGCTCTGGAGACCCTGGGTGGCAGAGGCTGAGAGGGGAGAAGACTGAGCTCCGACAGCACCTCCAGAGGAGAGGGGCGTTCCTCTGAGAAGAAGAAAGCTGGAGTCAACCTCAAGCCTCCACTGGTGTGGCCTAACCACTCCTGTTCACAAACACGAGAGAGGATCAGTTAAACTCAGCTCAGCCTCACAGATCCACTCATGTGACCGAGGCCTCATTCGTACCTGGAAGTCTCCACCGTAAACAGTAAAAAGATCCTGGAACTTGCTCTCAGGAGTTGGAATAATCGGCCAAATCTTCTTTGTAAGAAACCTACAAAAGTTAGAGTTAGACAGAGTCTCACAGAAGAAATGTGTTTATGTGGTGAGAAAGTCCGAAATGCGAATGTGTCCCTCTTTGACCGACCTGCGTGTGGACAGGAGGATGGTGAGAGACAGCACAACGAGGACGAAGGAGATGGTGAGAGTCAGCGACAAGATGAGCGGGTTAAATTCTGCACAGAGTGAAACATGGAACAAAGTAAGACGAACTAATTAAACCGATGTGCACAAGAGGTTTCCAAGATCGACTCCACCACAACACGTGACGCGTCTTTGTTTTGCTTGAACAGATGAGTACTCACCTCCCGGCAGCGTTTCTATGAACACTGGTTCACTGAAGGAACTCCAGTAGCCGTTGTAGCTAATCCCATCCAGCCTCACACGGACTTGAACCTTGTACTTTGTACCCGGCTGCAGGTTTCTCAGGATCAACTCTGAAGCGGCTCTTGCCTCCTCGACCTGCAAGAGAGTCCTCAGCTTATCAAAGAAGTCCACGATTCAACCTCTTAGCGTAATCAGGTCATGAACTGAACCGTACCTGCACCGCGCGGCTGTCCGCTGCAGCATAGCTGACCTCGTACAACATGCTGTCGTCCATGTACTTAAGAGAGGGAGACAGCCAGGTGACCCTCAGCTGACCCGGTTTGCCCATCCTGTTCACCGTCAAGTTCGTAGGAGGGTCGAGAAGAACTGCAGAGAGACAAGAGGTACGAAATAGAAAATTATACCTTATAATGTATAATATATATATATATATTATATAAATGCCTTCCTCTGCTGAACCACTTTGTGGAATTGGTCGCCAGTGGCTCCAGAAAACCAACTTACAGACAAGCTCGATGAAGAGGATACGATCGTGGATCAGTTTTGTCTCCCGATGAACTTGGATGTCCATTTGGACAAACAGCTGGGTTTCATCCAGGCTGCAGACGAACAGCGTCTTCCCATCTGCTGCAGGGACGACTCTCAACGGGCACCGCTGGCTGTCTTCATTTCTGCTCAGGACAGAAGGAGACACAAACACCGTGCGTTCAAATTTGGACACTTGAATGAGGCCACTAAGAAATTTAATCTAACACTAGACTGGATTTCTTCTGTGTCTTGACTGATATATTGTTTAAATATCAGGCCGGTGAAACTTCAAATAATGAACTAACCACACTGTTCTGTCAATTTTAGATATTTTTATTTATAGCCCATTTGCTACAGAAACATAAAAACTGCCAGTGTGAACCACGTGATGTTGTTCATGTTGTACACTCTGTTGTTGAGACTTACTGGTAGGTGTACGTGAAGGAGTACTGATCCACAGAACCAGCCTTTTCCTCGTCTTCCTCCCAGAAACATGTTAAGTCTTTCTTGCTTTCAGCAAAGCACTTGGGGTTTTCTGGCTGTTCCTTCAGTAGCGTAGCCACTAAAGGGAGGGGGGGGGGGGGCAACCGACATGTGTAAGAGCCCATGTGGGTCTGCAGATCATCAACACGAAATAAAGTCTCCAAGTCCAACAATGGAAACT